CTGAAGTTATTCTTAGATTTTGCGAACATATTTTTGTATCATTAAAATGGAAGCATTCAGACACCTTAAATTGGGAATTTGGAACAGTTCAGGCAGTAAAATTAGGTGCTCAACAATTTCTAGTATATATCTATCAAAAGTGAATAAATTTCAGGCCTGCAAAATGTTCTACATTTTACTCATTTATTTTTTCTGTCGACTTTGAAATTAATTGTATATCCTTTATGGAAATGTTTCGATATTTTGCCCAGAAACTGGTATTTTGGGTGGTGGTGGGGAAGATACTTTTGTGTGTGTGTGTGTGTGTGTGTGTGTGTATGAAAGGGTTGGTAGATGCGGTTCTTTTAAATGATGAATTAAAAAAGGTGAAAGCTGAGGAACAAGGGTGATTTCTAGCTTTCTGGTTAATGAATTTAACAGCTGCTTTTATCATAAGAAGGTGAAGTAAACTGTCATGGTTTTTGAAATGTTCATTTTAAAAATTGTCGATTAATTATTGAAATTGTAAAATGCAAGATTTTTTTTTCTTTTTACATTTTATTTAAAAGCATTTTAATATTACAGTCTTGGTAAGGAAATATGTTACAACTGTTTCCATAATGTTTTTGCATTGCAGTATATTTTTACCACACCTGTGCTTGACTCTAAAATATTTTGGTTGATATAAGTTCCTGTAATTTATCAGAAAACAAGAAATGGGGGCTTATACATCCTTACACAACTTAAATATATATATATGCAAACTGTATTCTTTAAGCAAAGGAGATCATTTAAAAAAAATGTTTACAAATTGAAACTCTTCACCTACATGTTGTCAGCAACAGATTGTACCCCCAAGTGACTAATACAGACCAAGATCAGATTGCGCAATCACGCTGTTTTAGTAACTGTTCACTATTCAACCTGTATATCTTTTGAAATTTCTATTAGAAATGATGAACGGTTTTGTATCGATTTAAAAATGGACAAGTCATTTGAAGATGTTTAGTATTGTTCCACATTAAAACTTAATTCTAACACTCACGTATTTTTGTCACTATTGACAAAGAAGAAGTAAACTGGTGTTAAACTGTAAATAAACACCGGTTAGGGACAACTTGTATATGCGCTGTTATGTTTTCACCCTCGATTGTATAGTTCACACAGCATTTTAAAGCAACAATAAAAAGCATTTTTATTTATATTTTCAGTTCGTATAATGCTTACTTTTCATACATTACCGAAATAATATCTTACATGCACTATTGCCACATATTAGATCCATATCAGTTAATAAATATTTTGACAAAACGGCGCCAATCCATATAAGCAGCGTAATGACGTCATCCTAAGTAAACAACTCATTCATAAACAAGCTGACGTTATTTCATACATGTATACAAGAATGATAAATGGGGCACTGACGTAAACACAATACAATGTAAGTTTTTATTGTTGAAAACTTGATAAAATAACGTTTGTTTCTTATTATTCCTTTTTTTTGGATAATTTCTCTATCTTCGCAACAGTAGGATGCGAAAATAGAACAGCGTTATACGAAAATCGGCACCGGAGGTTATTTCCGCTTGAAAAATAACATTAATGATTTTCCTTATTTTATTGTGTTACCCTATACGGCCTTCGTAGTCAATTCCTACGCATCAAAACTCCAAACCGGTGTTAAATAGCCGATATACACCTCTCAGGCCGATGTTATTTCTTAAACAATACTGATTGATGAAATTTTAGCCTCAGCATTCTATTATTGCGTGAAACAAGAAATTATACCCAATGTCTGAAATAGCTCATTTTGTTTATTGTGTATGCTGGTTAAATGCCAAGTTCAGTTTCTAAAACTGATGATTTTATACTCAGTCTGCTTTATTCATTACTAGCAAATTTCACCAGAGATTTGTCTGTAGACACCAGACTGATTCCTGTAGAGATGAAGGAAAAAACAGAAATTTACAAAGCATAGTTGCATGACATGGAAAACCCATGCTGAAAATGTGAACAACAGATGTTTTATCTAGTTAGATTGGTATCAAGTTTTATCAATCATTATTTAATAAGCTGAATCCTCTTCAGGTTATAAGATAGTTTGATAAGGCATACCTTTACAGCATATTCCGTTAAGAATTTCTTGAGAAAGTTCAAAAGTTTTTTTGAAACGTATGCAATGAAAATGTGCGCTTGCTGTGCATGTTATTTTGCTTCGGGATATTCGAAAATTTATGATATCTGTTATTCCGGCTGTCTTTTGAGGAATGTGAGCATCCATTTCTCAGCCATACAGACTTGATATGATTAAATCTATTAATCAACAATTTTGTAATTTTAATTATGAATTCGATTGTTTTTGTAGACTATCAGTTTTTAATTGGATTAGGCGTTATTATCCTTCCAAGAATGCACTTAATTCTAATATGGCCTGCAATTTGAGACAAACATCTTGTTTTTGGTTAATATAATGGTTTTTACTTTTATTTTTGAAAGTAAATGGACCTTGGTATAAATTTAAAAGGAATTCAATAGAATGTGTTTGAAAACTGAAGATAAAGTAAAAAATTAATTAACTGCTAATTGTGAAGTATAAAAGCTGTTATTGCTCTGCATGGATGGCCTGGAGGTGGATAGGGGATATATTCCATTGAACTGTATGAGGGAAGATCAGACAATCTTCAACTAACTGATAAGCCCTTATATCTTACTCCACCCTGACTGATCCAGATTACAGGGGAAAAATCTCGGGTTTAATCAGTGTTTATAAGGTAAGAGATGAGATAAACACTGATTCATGGGTGTGAAAAGGCGAAGAAAGAATTTTCTGAAAGTGTATATGCTGTGTTATATCAATATGTTACATTTTGAGTTTACCTGTGAAACATACTGAAATGTTTTTTATCTTTCTTTATATAATAATGATTTTCCAGATTTTGAGTGAAAATTTGCATTTTATTACATCATTTAAATGCAAGTTGTCCAAATTAACTTGATTTGACTTTTTTTTAAAATAAAACTGAGAGCATCTTACTTTTAGGTGTTATAGATTTAAATCTCAGTCTACCTTTGCACACTCTTGATGTTGACTTGAAATAATATTTGCACACATGTGAGGATATATTCTATGTATCTATACTATTTAAAAATAATATAAAATATCTATTTTCATTAAAAAAAGATAAATATCTAGATAGCATTTTTTTATATTTAGAAATGTATTATTATTGTTATGATGTCACAAACATCAAAGAATTAATTCGAAAAGTCAGTTGCATTAGCAATAAACTAAACTCTTTGCTGCTTTTTAGAAGGTATAAAATGAATAATAATTTTACAACATTTGCTAAAAATTAATATAGTAATGAGAACTGAAATGCGGTTAAACCTTGGAAATTTTGACGTGTTTAAATGTCTGAATCTCTGAAATTTCCAGTTTTGCGATATTTTTATACAATCAGATACATTTTTTTTATTCAGGTGAGAGGGGGTTAAATAGTAAAATGAAGAACGTACACTGCACAATGTGTACTTTTAATGTGGTCATTGTCATTTATTTCCTGTAGTACTGCCGCCCGTGGATCGTGTAACATACAACTATCCTCAATATCAACAGGGTAACCATTCACCATTATATCTTATGTTTTATTTCTATTGTACTTAATATGACCAAAATGTGATAGGATTTTGAACAATTTTAAATTGTTTAGTGACCTTGACCTTGAGAATAAGAAGCAGACGACAAGTTTTCTGTGTTGTTAAAGATGTTTGATTTATTTCATTTTTTCTCTTTTTTTAAACAGTTAGGTCTCTCTCTCTGAAACTCTTTGGTGTTAACTTGTTTGTTATTTAAGAAATACAACAACTAGATGATGAAGGTTGAAAAAAATGTCCTTTTGAACCACGTATTTCTGTTTGAGATGCACAATCGCTTTTACTAGAAATGACGTATTTTTCGGGACCTGAAACGTTCGCACTATTAGGTACAATCATTGTGTGTGCACAGTTTTTTTTTGGAAATATTTTATATTGTCAAGCCCTTAGTAAGCCCTTGTTACTTGTAATTTGTATGATTTAATTATAAGATTATGTTCATTAGTTTTAATTTGTTTCAAAAATGTCGGCAACATTAGTTGGAACCTTACAAAACAGAAATAAGGAAAAAACCGAGGGTTATGTTACTGTATTTATTTTATTTGACATTAAAATAGCTAAATCTCTGATTTGATTAGATCTTTTATGCCCTACATATTTGCACAGATGTCAAATTTAAATTTATGTCATAATTTCCATTGTACCTAGCAATTTCGTTTTAAGATTAAAGCATAAGCCTTATTAATAAGGGCTGACATTTGTTTGATAAGTACTTAAGGAGTATAATGGTAGCCAGTATACATTTATCTTAGAAAATTGTTCTTTCAAAAACATTTATTATCTAACAGGAAAAATATTATTCCTTCTATTTACCATACACCTGTACAAGCTGATATTATTATGCTCACAATCCAAGATTGTGTAAGTATGTTGATGGTGCATGTATAATTTCCGTCATGCAGTAATGTTACGAAAATTCTCCTCTTTGTAATTAAAAGTAAGAAAAGGTAACTCCAAAAAAGGATTTGGTGAAATAAGTTATGCACTTGATTATAGCCGATTTCTTTCTATCAATCTATGACGTGCTTTCTGTTGTAAATGCATGTAAACTACTAAATTACGCATGTTGCTCTATTCAAGCTTATGCATAATTATTTGTTAAAATATAACATTTAATTCATTACAGAATCTAAGTAGTTTGATATAAGAGAAATCAAAATATATACATGTAGTAGAAAGAAAAAGAACAATTTGCTTTCTGCATTCAGATCATTTTATTTTTTTTTTGGATTAAAATCAAGTGTGTTTGTGTGCATAAACCCTTAATTGTTTTAAATGAACACTTTTATCTTTACATTTTATTCTTTCAGCCAATTTATCTAACATGTTCGTCTAACTCACGTGCGATTTAATTTTTATTATTATAGCGCCAGGATCTGCCCCAAGAAATGTGAGAGCCCGACCTCATAGTCTTCAAACTATACGCATAGACTGGGATGAGCCCGAGATATCAAATGGAGTTATTCAGGTTCAAAAATTTATCTGTACATTTTGCATTTGAATCATTTTATGTTATCACAATAATTTTTTGGTACCGATTTTCAGAACTTAATCACTTATTAATATAAAACCTGGTCATATTAGCTCATGTATGTCACATATTGATTTTAAATTTCATGTATGGATATTGATTGAATGACATTTTTTTATTATTTTTTTTATTTTTAATAAAATGTTTGAAATTTTATTCCACTTTTGTTCTCGTATTGAGGTCCGCATTGTTCATGTATTCATACTAGGCTGCCACGATTCAAAAGGAATTGTCACATATGATTCGACAATATTGAAAGACTTTATATTTACACCGGATTTATATAAATTAGATCTTACATTTTAACATGATCACTAGAATGGAAATGAGGTCTCCCTACAGAAAAAAAAACTTTTTTTTTCATTGCTACTATAACAACATATTCCTCTGATTAGAATCTAGATATATCCACGTCAAATTTCAAGTTATTATTGAACAAAATGCTACCATACAGGCTATGTTGTTGAAATATTGATAAAAACAGAGATATGAAACAAGCTCTACGAGAACTGGTTCACTCGATGGTTAGGAACCATATGCCACTCGCACCATATGCCACACTGTCATGAAACCTTTTAGGATATTTTATTTCTCTTTAATTGACATATATTTTTGTTTAGGATAGAATTAGTTAATTTTGAAGAAAATGAATTTTATCCATTAGGTAAATGCTTGCATATATAACTGATATCTTGCTACATAAGCCTTAAACTCTCCTCTACCTAACCCCTATCCCCATTCCATTAGAGGACCTCACATATGATATGACCATATTGAAAGACTTTATCTTATGATTTTTTTTAAATGACAAACTGAATATTTCCCTCTGTGATGTTTTCAGGGATATAAAGTATTTTATACAACTAACCCAGACCTACCAATTGTGCTGTGGATGAACCAAGAGGTAGCTGGAGAGAATAAGATGACTACTGTTAGTGGTTTGATACCCAACAGCACCTACACAATATGTTTGCTGGCCTTCTCAAGCATTGGTCAAGGTCCATTGTCCGTTCCGGTAAAAGTGATGACTAGGAAAGAAGGTATGTATTGTCTGTGTTTATTGCGGGTGATTGTTCCCTGTTGTTTCTAATTGGTTGTTCCTAGGGAGTCAGATTTGGCACCTAGTGAAGGACAATGAGAAACACGCTTTAGTAATTTTGAGCCGCTAGATAACAAAATGGTAATGTTTCATAAATGTTTCTTACAGTTAACTAGTACTGGAACAAGTTTTAGTTTTGAAAAGTACAGTTGTATTTTTTCTTATTTTTACCGAATAAGTTATGTTTTGATGAATAATCACTTTCTTTACATGTGTACCTAATGGTTAAAACATCACAATGTAGATGCGGGAATTGCATTTTTTTTTTAACTTGTTGTTTTGAGAAACCATGGAAATTATACACCAGATTTCATAATTGGATAGATTAGTTTAACCTTAACATTTTTACTTAATATTTAATGTAACTAACAGTATAGCAATATGATTAAATTCATTGTTTATGATGGCGTTTTGAGAACATGTTATTTTTAAAATATCTTTTTCCTTGTCATAGTCTATTTGATTGAACAAAAGATTATTCATAACTTTATAAAAGTAAGGAAAGGTTTCTTTTGCAATGAGTTTATACGACTTTTCCTATTACAAAACATTTTGGAGATAACTCGGCATGCAAAATGTATTGGCTCATGAGGCATATGTAGAGCGTATGTTGTGTTATTTCTTTAAATCTTTCTTTTGACAAAAAAACTACTCAAATCTTCCTTCATCTTGTGTCAAAAACGCTACTTAAATTCTCCTTTCCATAGTGAACAAAGGTGTTTAATTTTACCTTACAGTGTAAAAAGAGGTGTTTAAATTTTCCTTTCCATTGTAAATCTTCAATTTGTCTCTTTTAAAGTTAACAAAGTTAATACAATGCCTTCTTCCATTGGTAACAAAGGTGATCAAATGCTTTCTTCCAGTATCAATAAGGTGTTTACTTTGTGTTATTTTGTTATTGTTGTTGTTGTTGTTATTTGTCAACTAATATGTCCTTTTGTTTTATATCAAGAAAGCAAATATGTCCTTCTGTCTTATATCAAGAAAGCTACTTACATTCTCCTTTCCAGTGTGACAAAAAGGTATTTAAATTTAACTCACAGTGTCAACAGAGGTGTTTCAATTTTCCTTTCCATTGTAAATATCCAATATTTCTCATTTAAAGTTAACAAAGGTAATACAATGCTTTCTTCCAATGTTAACAAAGGTGATAAAAATGCTTTCTTCCAGTATGAACAAAGGTGTTTAAATTGTGTGTGTTTTTGTTGTTGTTGTTGCTGTTATTTGTCAACAGATATGTTTAAGGATTTCCTTCAATATCAACAAAGGTGCAAGAAATTGCCTTTCAATGTATACAAAGGTGATTACGTGTCTTCTTCCATATGATATAAATGTTTAAATCTTCCTTTTCATTTCCATGAAAGGTGTGTAAATATATTATCCAATATCAACAAAGGTGTTAAAATCTTCCCTTTCTTATTTTAATAAAGGTGTTTAAAGGATTTCTTCCAATATATCAACAAAGGTGTTTGAATGGTTTCTTCCAATTTTAACAAAGCTGCTTAAATTTTTTCTCGCAATGTCAACAAAGGTGTTTACGTACATTTTGGTCAACAATAATGTTTAAGACTTTCCTTCAGTTTCAACAAAGGTGTTAAAATCATGCCTTCCAAATGTCAACAAAGGTGACTTAATCTGCCTTTTCTATGTCGACAAAGGTATTTTGATCTTTTTTTTTTAATGTCAATGCAGTTTGAACCATTACAAAGATATTAACATCATCAATTCCCATATCTACAAGGATGATTACAGGCCTTTCCATTATCAGAAAAAGATAAGTATGCATTATCTTACCTAAAATTAAAATCACAAATATTCATGTACACTCACTTCAGACATCAGGGCCAACGGAATCTGATTTTGACAAATTTGTCAGTTTTAATTTTAAGTATGTGGTGCAACCTGGGCAATACGGTCAATTGATTTAGCCACCCCTTGGCATCAATAGTGGGTGACATCTTTTTTCTTCACAATGCCACTGAGCGAATCCTTATTGAGAAAAATCTAATTAATCTTGTTTGTCATTGGTCAAATTCACCACTTGTGCAGCAAGATCCCATTTGTACTTACAGTAAATATATAATGTGTGTATATTAAAATAACAGCTAATCTCTGGTTAATATAGTGGTCTTGTAAGAGAAGCATGGAATAATTTTTTTTGCAGTTTAATTTTTTGTTCAAAAAGAAAAAAAGAAAAAAAGAAGATTTAGTATTATGATGCATCTGCATGTTGTTTTTATTACAAAGTTAAATACAAATCTTCCATTAAATTGTAAAGACTAAATGCTTCTCTTTCTCGTTGACATGTTGTGTTAAGATCCCCTTTGTTCTCTCGTTGACATGTTGTGTAAAGTTCCCCTTTGGCTCTTACAATAAAAACATCTTAAAATGATAACACTTATGTTTCTACACTTTAAATGTCAATTTCCTTTTGAAGAAAGGTAGATAATTGAGTTAATTGGATTATATTTGACTCAGATAATACATTTTATTCTTGTCTGAGAGTCAAGGTACCCCGGTTATTTAATTCCGAATGAATAATAGCCTATGATTGTATTATGAACAAAATTTAAGTTATGTGTAATAGAAACTCTTTTTATTTTTTCGAGAAAATGTTCATTATTTTGTGTATTGTGTAGTGTCTATGTGTCTTGTTTGTTTGCTCTTTTAGATTAAGATAAAAATAAAAACTGCATAATTGACAGTTGATTATTCATATTTTTGAAAGACAAAATAAGAACAAAACTATGATGTTAGCATAATTTTCCTTTTTTGTTTCTGTAAACTGCATCTTACCAAACTGGTGGTGTGGTGTCTTAAAAGGTTTAAAGTGATGTAAATGAAATCTTGAGTGATGAATGTAAATAAAGGGTTTCAGCACCAATGTATTGTTAATAGCTTAATAGCATGTTGACGTTTGATAGTCATCAAGACTCATAAGCAGGATGTAAACTGCTTCATGTTTGTTAATCTAAACCTTGTATGACCCAAACAGTGTGATAATAAGAAACATTTAAACAGTCTGACATTAAGAATAAATATCACAAAAGTTCTAATGAACCAACATCCGCAGAATTTGTATCATACATTGTTATTACAAACTTTTACAAGAGCAACACAAAGGCGAAGCAATATTCGCCCTAATTTAAATTTGTCCATGTAATTAATCAGGGTAGAAACCAAATCAAGAAGCTTGTCTGAAAAATGTTAAAATTTAAATATCCTTAGATACTATTTGACCTCCAAGGCTGTTTCGAAGTGCATGATTCATAAAACCGTTATAAAGCTTTGCAAGGTAATGCTTTACGCCAAATATAGAAGCATTGTATAAATCAATAGAAAAAAAAGATATGCTTTAAAGAGTTAATTTTGATTTTAATAACTATTCACATTTAGATGCATCATCATATTGTGTGCATTTTTCTCTGTAAAATAGATTTGCTAGGGCTTGCAGTCGTGTGGATGATTTTGATAAACGCAATCTATAACTGGCAAACTTTCTGATATCGCTATCATAAATTTCTTAAATATCTTAAAAATTTCTACCATCATAATTTGATTGTAATTTAAAAACCCATTTATGATTGGGTATAAGCAATTCTAATTTTATGGATATGTTGTTTAATAACTTCACAGGTTAATGGGTCATAGTATTTTTTCTGCAGTCTCAAAATCATCAGAATGTTTATTAAAATAGGCTATGACCCTTATATGTTAAGGTATACCGCATATTTGGTGTTTAACCCTTTAACATATAGACGCTATCTCTCCTCTTCTAATTGCATCTGAGTTGTTTTAATTTTCGCCTGTCTTCCGTCTTGCTTGGCCTACCCTTGTAGGTTTCCTCATATTCCGTTCATGGATCGAGTATTTCTGTTATAGAAATTAGGCTGTACCTTTCTGTGCATATTTACAGTATCGTTCATGCGTAATTATTTATTTCCTGTAACGTAACCAGGGCAACTGTTAGAATTTCACTTCGCGGGTATTCATTTCATTTACACTGTCTCGTCCTAGAGGAACATATTGGGGCTAAGAGTAAGGTTTTGCACGACTAAAACCGGTTTAAACTCTCCAGTGGTGTTATTACTTACCATTCTAAGGAGGTACCTCTATGCGATCCTTCATATTGTTACATGTTTTAAATGATTTAACTTTTTGTGATTTCTTGATTTGTTTATTTGTCGTTAACGTTATTTCGTTCAATTTTCACTCGTATACCATTTTTGCCCGCCCCTTTCTACCCATTTTCCTTACACCAATTGTCCCTAAACTTTCCATATGGACCCCTATATAAAAATCATTTTACTTATTAAATGTCCCTTCCCTCCTTATGCCTCTGTTGTGTCCTCTCCCAATTTTGGTTCTGTACCTTCTGTACCTTCTGTGCATCCTGCTGTTATGGCTAGATTGTGTCGGTGCTGTGTTCTGTGAACCTCACCCTACTTACTTTTTGATCTTTATTATCATTTCTCATTTTCTATACCTTTCTCTAGTTTAAGCAAATGAATTCCAGGGGCCGGGACATGAAACAATTTTAATCCTAAATTCATGATTTTTATTACATTTGTAGAAATACTTATGTTGATGCTACATATTAGATATCTAAGCTATGGATAAATGATATTGATACAAAATGACTAAGTGTGATATTGCCATTGACCTGCGAAAGGTCGTCACATGAAGTAATCGTCTCATTATAGTAAGCATTTGTGCCAATAAGTCTCCTTCCTTCCACAGGTTCCAAAGATACATTCAGGACACGAAAACTCCTATATTAGTCTATTAAAATAATGTTATCTCTATGGCGGGCAAATAAATTTCTCTAAAAGCCCGATCAAGCGTATTGCACACAGTCATATTATAAGTTATGTATATATCAAAAAGTTTGAATTTCTTTCTATCGGAACACAGAACACAGAATTGCACCAAATTGAATGGTCAGCAGCTAATGCACTCCTGGGGAGTTTCATTAATGCATTGGTGCACCAAACCTTACTCCTACTTCCAACATGTTTTGTGGTTACAAAATGTGAAATAAGTTAACCACAGAAATGATTATGTAGATAAATGTAAAAGTAAACTCAGTAACAATTAAAAGTACTTAAATGCCTCTAAGGAAGACAGAGTAGTATGAACAGTAAGAAAATCATCTACAAGGGATAAAGGAAGGCAGAAGACGAAATTCCAAAATAATTCAACACAATTGTTTAAGTTCTAATCAGTATTATATTGATAATGCAGTGTGTCCTGCAAACATTCATATAATTTCAGGCTAAGTGACTTTTCACTATGCATGATTGCTTGAACATACACACACTCACGCGCACGCACACACACATACACACACGCGCGCGCACACATGTACAATTGAAATTAAACACAAATTTATCAAGATTATGCAATTATTGTATCCATTAAATAAACATGGTAACTTAATAAAACAGTCTTTAATTGCAGATCTTAATTTAGCGTTTTCTACAATTGTTCATTATTTTTATGATAATCATTTTTAATTCTTTTTTCAGACATTGATGGTTCGTTCAAAGGAAACAACACAGAGAATGGCATCAACTTATGCACAGAATCAAAATACAAAAAATACAAAAAAATGGCAGTCGCGGTATGTAATGATAATCTTCCTCGTCATGTTGTACAGATAAAATTCGACTATTTCGATGTGGAAAACTCAGATTACTGTATCTTTGATTCGGTGAATCTTTTGCTTTCGACAGAAGACAGAGAAGGTATTTCAATTTTAGTGTTTTGTTTTTCACTATATATAACAGATTGAATGCAATATTAATAAAAAAGTGACTTATGTTCCAAAAATGTTTCCGTGCAAATTTACATAATTTGTAACAGACACTCATGAATTAATTGATACTTATATTATTGAACAGTCTCTCAACCATAACTTTTTTTAATCGTAATAATATTTCTGAAATTTATATCATATATTTTCCAGAGACATCTTTTCTTAACGGACAATCTTGCGGAAAAAATAAACATAGGCAAACGTTCATCACAAGGGGCAACTCACTTCGCCTAGAACTTAAAACAGATGAATCATTAGCCCTTAAGAATTTTCAGGCAAAGATTACATTTGTACCAGATACAGGTAACTAAAAATTTCTTTTTTCTTTTATGTCATTTCAAATAATTAAAATTTATTTCTATCACACAGAGTTACACTTCACCAGTTTTACCAATTAACTTGTCATTTATGAAGCATTTGGAATGTTCTTCTTTCGTTAACCAATTAAACAAACGAATAATTTATTTTAGAATGTATATGCAAAGACAAAATGGAATGCATTCAGGACAACACTGAAAAGTATGTAACTTTAAATTAAATTATGTGGAAAATGATATTTCCTTTTAATATGTGTGTATTTAAAAAGAAATACGAACTATAGACGCTGTTTTCCTTTTATTTGAAATCTGTAGACAAGAATCTAAAGGAAGTAAGATTATGAAATACTTTTATAAGCTTATGAAGTTTCAACTTTGACATTTTTGAATTAATCACTGCAACGCACATAAGATTCGATGTCAAATAAACATTGTTAATATAACAATGACATGACAAATATTTCACGTTCATTTTTGTTTAAATATGACTATTTATGATATTTTAGATGTATTCGAGGAACATATTGTGATATAAATATATGCCAAAATGGCGGAACATGTATAAAGAATCGTTCTACGGAGAAATGTTACTGTCCTAAAGATTTCAAAGGAGACGACTGTTCACAAAGAGATGTAAGAAAAATGCAGTATTTAAATGGATGAATGAGAGTTTGCTTGATGTAAACGATGCTCTTCCTAAATTCATTTTGATATCGTAATTTTATGTTAACCATTGTCATTGAAATATACTTCGTTCGTTGAAAATTGCTGATTCCCGTAACCTGGCCGTATTTGTTCCATATTTATCTCCATTTTCCGAGGAAACGTGGCGTTATTGTCATGACTCTCTCTTCAGCGATGGTATTGGCGTTGGTTTACTTGTTATTTACGGCAATTCATTCGGACACTACCGAAGCTTTTCACATCAAACTTGGTATACATGTTTATTGTCATAAATGAATGCACATACACCTAAAATTAGTTTTTGCAAACTTGTCCTCCCTCCTTTATTAACATTTTTAGGTGCATTTTCTCAGCAACTGTAACTTTAATTTTTCTCTTCAAATTGGTTTATATGTTCACTATCAAAATATGAAGCCATTTTAACAAGTAAAATTGTTATGTGCCTTTTTCAAAATGGCGGAATTGATAATTTTGCAGGCTCGCTCAATGTACAGCAGCCGGTTGGTGCAAGCTAACCAAATCGCCATTTTTGTATAACGTTCGATTCTATCTAAATACTCATTTTCTTGTTCAAATACACGTTTTTATTCATGCAATATGTCTGCTTATACAGTTTAACTCAGTGACCCCATTTATAAGTTTATTCTCTCCAAGGTTAGGGGCGTCCGTGGCCGAGTGGTTAAGGTCGTTGACTTCAAACAACTTGCCCCTCACCGCTGTGGGTTCGAATCCCGACAGGGACTTTGAATTCTTTCATATGAGGAAGCTATCCAGCTAGCTTACGGAACGTTGATGGTTCCAATCAGGTGCCCGTTCGTGCCTGAAATAATACACAATAGGGAACCTGGGTTCTTCCTCCACCAGTAAAGCTTGAGCGTCGTTAAATGACCTACACTGTGTCGGTGTGACGTAAAACCCAATCAAACAAACAAACAAACTCTCTAAGGATATTTCCTCAACCAAACTTTGAATAGTTTAGTTCCCCTCACAAAATTTTTAAGTTGTTACTAAATTTGGATAATAGTGAAAACAATAAGAACTCATTTCACTTCTTAAATCAATTAGATTTGGCGCAGACAAATATTCTTTTTATTTTTATTTATTTTATTTTACATGCCTTTTAAGTGCGTTTAAATCAATATTCATTTTGCAAGGGTGAATTTCTGGTGAGATTCATTAGTGCACCCGTGGACCGAACGATAAAGAGGGGTGAAAGTCACGTAGAAGAATGTAAAGTTGAAGTGCCATATGGAGAGCAGGTAGAATATAATTGGTAAGAGAAGAATCATTATAGGTTTTTTAGTTGTTTATTAAAAGCTAAATAAGGAATCAAAAGGACGGACGAAAGACTAAGATTTGAACAAACCGTCCAAAAACAATGGGAAAAGTAGGGATCGAACCACAAATTTTTTCATATATGAGATAACCACTTAACCGACTGTGCTATTGCGGATGTGTCGAGAACATATACATTACGCTAGTGTAGAGTTATGCAAACATTAGTTATATACTTTATAATAATTCTCGTAAACTATACGGACCGAACCGAAGTGGGATCGAATGGGAGAACTTAATAAAATTGAATTTTGAAAAGGCATCTAAGGTTTTTTGTGAAATTATCGGCATTAGTGTCAATTAAGGTAAGACAGTTATAAAAGTATTCTGGTCCTTCAAAATACTTAGAGATATTAAAATTTTTGGATATCTCAATCAACACTTCATCAGTATAAATATATGGAACCCCTTTCCACCCTTAAATTGTCATGCGTAATAGCTCTGTATAAATTGGCGTCACAAACAACAAAATCTGTATACTGTATAAGTGTATATAAAAGACAGTTTGGATATTTTGATTATTAGGAATGTTCTTAACTGTTTGATTTAATGGTTAAAGTTATACTTTAGTATGGATTAGAGATATAGGGATTGAAATACTCCGATATTATTAGAGAGTTCAAATAAAGTACTGTAAGCATATTTTAAATATTATTATCATTATAATCATTATCAATTTTATTTTTATGATCATTATTATTTTTTATTATTAATGTATTTTCAATGAATACAATGAAATAAGTTTCACTTTACTTGCTATGTATGTAATATTATAACTAACAGTGAATAAGGGGGACAACGTTATTCAGTGGAACAATTTTGACGGAAAATTTCATCATCGTGTTTTGCGTATTTTAATTGTTGACGTCAACGACGTCATTATCTGTATACATAACATAGTGTAAGATAAAACATATAAGAAGATAAATATGTGATGTATAAAAATAAACAGAAACTCCTTGAAAAAGAAGGGTTTAATCCCTCGAAACGTTGGAGATAGAAAAGGTTGTGCAGTAGATAAGCATTTTTTAAGATGTTCATAAAACAACCAATAAGATGTTGCGCCTAAGCGAACGCGGTCGTTTACCATTATATGATAATCATAATGTTACCAGACTTGTAAAATATTGGTGTAAATTGCTGCCAATGCAGAATCACAAATACCCTAAAAACTGTTATCTGATGCACAAAGACGTATATGACGTAGGATGACGTACAAGGGCATCAGATTCGATAAACTCTTTTTAACTTTGGTTTTTGGTTCGCACCGATGTTTCAAACTTTGGGTGATATCACTTTATGACAAGTACTAAATTAAAACAGCGAGTATCTGATTGTCTTACACAGAACTGGCGTAATCGCAATAAAAAAGTGTTAAAGATGTGAACATCAGATATGGAAAAACGTTCAACAAGGACAGACAGTGTTCAATGAACACAACCCCCACGCAACCCAGCAACAAGAACCGGTGGCAGGAGTCCAGGAGGACCCCAAACAAAGTCAGGACAGGACTCACGGCAGAGCACTAACATGCCAATCATTAAAGTGACACTCAATAACAAACAACAGTAACTGACAAGGAAATTGAAGAAAACAAAGAAAGGGAAGATACTTACTATAGACGAGAGCCAAACAAGAAACTCAAACAAAAGTGTTACCCAAACAGTATTAAACAACAAATACAGACATCTGAGAAACACAGAGGGGCACCGCCTTGGAACGTGGACCAGCATAGGTACTGCTGGGGAGTAAAAACAGGTTAATGGTGCACCAAACCTCACTCTTAGCCCCACCGTGCTCCTTTAAACAAGACGTTGTAAATAGCATGAATCCCCGCCAAGAAAAATTCTAATAGTTGTTATGGTTACAATATGTTAAATAAGTACAAAAAGATGGAAACAAAGTGATCCCTCTGAAGCATCAATCACAACAAAATTAAATAAAAAGATGAAATAAATACACGTTATATAAGCAACCATCAACAAATCATGTAGATAAATGCAAAAGTGTTCAACTGTAAAAGAGTTGAACACTAAGCATGCAGTATGTCATAAAACAATAGGTCATAACCTCTTTTAATAAAACATTTAATGATTTAAGTAAAAACAGCAGAAAAAAATCGTCTTAAATTCAGGCTATCTAATCCCTTGTAGCAGAAGTGATTTTAAATCACTATTGAACTCGAAATTAAATCAAAATTACGATTGTTAAATTTTGGTAAAATATTTGTGTAATTTATGATAGTGATGCCCTGCTTAAGAAGCTTGCTAGTAATGAAAATATTACGCTCGTTGAAACCCTTTACGTTTCGATAAGCTCTAGCGAATCTAATTCACTGAGAAACATATACCTCATTAGATGTTGCATGGGGTACGTCTCCATTTAAATGTGGATAATTAGCCATACAAAAATCAAAGTCATCTCTTTATCATTTTCGTGTGAATAGAATTGATGTTGATATTAATATGAAGACTCAAAAACAATACCAGATCCTTTACTGTAAATCAAAGTCGGATTTCAAATGGGGGATTGCTGTTTATTCAGTTTAGTTACATAAGCGTCAAGTAAAGGATCTAGAGCCTGTGTTTACAACTACCTTTCAACGTGAACCGAAACGTTACAATCCAAATGACAAATACGTCAGTGAGTTGTTCAAACATGTATATGGACAGTTGTACTTCAACACTAGAGACATACATAATGTGCAATTTGTTCTGCCAATCAAGGTAAAATTAATCACATGTCGATGTATGACTTGCATGTATGAAACTATGATTATTTATACAAATATTTCCTATGTTGTTCAAGTGTTTCATGTAATGGTATTCATTTGTTTCATAATGTGTTGTTCAATTGTTTCATGACCATCATAAAATAAAAAAGATGTGAACCCACAAAAGTTTTATTTTTCTTTATGTAGTAAGCAAAGTTTTTTTTATAGAAAAAGTGGCCATACTTTTCCGAACACTTGCCCATAAGTTGCCAATACATTAAAGTGTTCCATAAGTTTTCGAAATTTTGGAAAGTTGCCAAATAAATTTTAAAAAATACAAAAATACATAAAGAATATTGCATTTAGCGTTCTTTTTTAAAAAATATTAGGTAAATTAGAATAAACATGACGTCTTAATGTTGATAGTTTAAGGGGAATAGAAAATGTCCGTCCTATATGTCAATTGTCAATTGTTAAGTAGGTTTTATTTCTACTAGGTCAATAAAAGGAAGATTGATAGAGCCGTACAATGACAAGACAGGATTTGGAACTCATCCAGGTGGAGTATTACAGGTGCGTTATGAACGTTCTAGCATTTTTATTTGAATTATGTGAATTTGTTTACAGATATGTTACTGTAACTATTTCGACTATATCAAGATAAATTCATTCTTAATGATAAAAACCCCATCTTTTTCTCATTCGAGTATATATAATATATACATTTACTGCTAATGAAATTGTAAATATCAAAAAACTTTATATTAGATACTAATTTCTTCTTTTTGATTGTTGACCGAATAGAGAGGATAAGGTTTTTCATTTTAACTGAAAATGCGATTGAGTCAGAATTCAGCCTTCTTTATAATTCCCCTTTATCTGGAATAATCAGAAAAAATCCTCAGTGAAAATCCATCTTATATTGGGTGGTCAAAACTGGTTCCGCAGACCTTGATTTTTCCAGTAAATTATTCCTAATGAAAGGAAGATTTTACATGTATACGGATAACGGCATAATCAATTTTGATGTCGTACAAGCAGGGATGAAAATTTGTATATTAAGAAAGTAATATCTCAAAATGTAGCTTATCAAAATGGAACTGCATACAGCAGTAGCATTTTGTGTATGGTACTGAGAATCCACAACATGAACCGGAGATGAGTCAGTTTTGTCCCGATTCCCAAATCATATATTTTCAACTTCACTGTGTAAATGTTTAAGATTGATGAGTTTTCGGACGCATTGGTGGGACAATATTCATGTTTTGCGACAAGCTCTGGTGGATCAGCGGAACACACGTTTGAGTATAGGATTGCAGAGGATTGTAACGTCAGTAAGTTTAAAACATTAGCAACACAACAAATGATTTAATGTATTACAAATTGAAAAAACATAGATGCAAATTTATCAAAGAAAAGATAAACAGTAGTTTTATAAGAAACTAACAACAGATGTGATCTAAATTTACAATAAAATTTACCAATTGCAAAGACAAATTGTATAAAAAATATATATATTTGCGTGTAAACACTGCACCATGACAGAGACAGAAAACCAGGGTTAGTAAAATTAGCATCCTTATTGTTATATACTTTATAAAAAGTAAGTTTAAACTTAATACTCAGCGGTATAATTAAATCTAACTGGCCGACTGGGTGGGGAATATCATCATTTAATCGAATCGCTAAATTTATCTTTTAAAACCGGTAGATAAGGTTTAAAACTCACAATTAAGCAGGTTTTACGGGCGATTGCGGTAGCACTTTCCTATATTTTCTAAGGACATACTCAGTCAAACCTGCTCCATTTTCAATTTTGCCGTTTTGGGCGTTTGTTAAGGTCTCATTTTCCCTTTTTATGTGACTGTTAAAAGTGTCATTCAATATAATTTGAATTGTTGCTTAAGCAATATGGTCTCTTTTCTCGTAGATTCCTAGTAAACTGTGGTTTAATATGATAGATAATAAACTGTACTTGTCCCCCACTCTTGTACATCATCTGTTTGAATTATTGTGACGTTTATAAGATAAGATTGTCCAATTTAGTAATTTTTGACAGTTTTGACATTGTCAAATTCATATTCAAATTTACCAGAAATATTCCCTGGACCTCAGGCAGAGAACAAAAAGATAAATGAAATGGCTTTACTTATATGCCACGTGGACCATCGGGCCAAAGCAGTTAGATGGAAGAAAGATGGAGTTTACATTGATTATGACAAGGATGATAGAATCAAGGTATGTTTACATTTTTTTTTAAATCAATTTAATACGTTTTTCCATACGTGGGCAAATATTAATCATTTAATAATTTCCTGTTTTCTAATTGTTTAGTTCAATCTTTAATAGATTGTAAGAAATGCGAAATGAGTAAAATTTAAATTACAGATCTGTATATATATGGAAATTAAATAGCATATATATTTATCTTGACATTTCATTAATTGAAAAGCGTCACTTGTAGTTAACAGACAGACATACAGAAAATTACGATTTTTCCATGGCAACGCATGTTGCATTTCGCGCATGCGCATTCTGCGTTGGGCAAAAGCGCAAAAACGATAGAATACATTTTAGCGTACTAAAAGGTTTTAAAAGGCGTGATTTCAAGTTATGTCACCCAGAAAAAAATAAATTTTGGGATGAATTAAAGCGGTAAGTACTTAAAACGTGAATTGATATTTATAACAGATATACAAAATTAGCAGGACTTAAAATTCAACGACCAAAAGTCCTATGTTCAAGCTATCATTAGGTGACTTTTTCATCAGTAATCTAAATTAAAACACCAGGGTGTTAAAGATCACATTTTATTACCCATGTATTACATAATATTACACCATTGGTATTCCTTTGAAAGTGGATTGACCAGGCGGCAAGTCTCGAACAGATGACACGTGACCGGTTGTTATTTGCCAGCTAGTTATAATATCATTCCATTCAACCGGGTCATTTAAGTACCATGGCATAGTTAATTACTTAAAACTATGAACATGATAAATCGTAATTTTAGTAACTTTTATTTATACCAATCTCATCAATGTTTATTGATTTTGTGAAGTGATAAATAGTGTACGTGACGTGCACTCATGTGTTACAAGAAATCGGATAAAATGTGTGTTATTCCACCACCCATCCTAACTTCTCAAGAGTTTAAAAATTTATTTAAATATATATGTGACTTCAAAAATTTCTGTTTGGCATCTCAGTCAAGTCGGATAAAGGATAAAATTATCTAAACTGAAAACTAAAAAGCATTATATCACGTGTTCCGACTTTTCTTTTTCAGAATGATAATTAACCTCGATTTTAAATGTTATAAAATTCATATAGAAATGTTATATATTATATGTTATAAAAATAGTTTTATATGGACAATTTCAACAACAATTAAATTGACTTTTTTATTTGATAATATATATTGTTCTACATTTTTTTACACCAACAATCTCAATTTCAGGCACGTGATGGGTAAGGGGGAATTCTTAAACACTCGTCTTTTCCATGCCTTTTTGGGCAATCTTTGCCACAAAGGCTATAAAGGCATTTTTTGTGTTTCTGTAAAAAGCTATTTAATATGATTTTCTAATTTATACCTTAACCTAACTCAGAATTTTCTATGAATTTCAACTACATTTCTATTTAAGGCAAGGCTTTTTTGCCCTACGCAAATTGCGCATGCACGAAAAATACTACTTCCGGTAAATTTTTCATAGCAACGGACCGCGTCGTAAAAAGGTCTATATAAACCAACACATATCTGTCAAGTGATCGAATAAAGTTCTAACAATAATCACATTTTTATCACAAAAATAAAGATATTTTAAGGAGGATGAATAAGGCAACTCACATTTTCTTGTTAAAAAGACAAGTTTTATGTTTCAAATTTGCAATTTCAAGACTTTCTTAATGCGTTATATATGAATTTTGCCAGCTTTACAACAGTAACACAATTATCACTATTCAAAAGCTCTATAAACTTCATTACACTTTTATAAAATATTCTTTAATGAATTGTTTCCTTATATAAGCTTATACTGCACATACCATGACAAAATGATATTAGTATTCAATATCTCTATTGTTACAAAATAAACAATATCGCACATTTCTTTCTACTCTATTTCTAGCGTATCGACCGGTTTCAATGACTAACTTGTTCGATGATAGTCTAAGCTTAGACAGAATGCTTCTAAATTTAAATGGCAATATATCGAAATATTTTTCAAACCCTTATGAAATTTTATAATGTTTGTATACAACCAATGTTCCGCATCCCTGTAGCCATTGTTGCCAGTTTTAAAAGTATCTATAATTACTCTTTCTGTAAAAACAAGATTGAACTTATTTAAGTCAACACAGAATTGATTGTTCCAAACATATGAAAAATCATAACAATCTAAAAGGTTTTTTACATGTTCAGGAGTTTTCATATAGACATGTCGGCAAAATTTAAACTGTTCAATAGAATTTCTTTAAACTTGGCAAGTTATTAGAATATGATAACAGAAACATTTTAAACAGAAAACAAATTTGGGGTGACCGTTCTCATTTTCGAGTTATCTGCCTTTGGAATGGAATTCGTTGAATTTTCGTTGAATTCAAGGGCATATTATTTACAATGAAGCGAAACAATACATTTTTTCATATTTTCATGAAGCCTACCTTCTTATTCAGTATGCCAAATTTCAAAAACAAATTTAGAGTGGATATTTTTTTCCCCACTTCTTAAAAATTCAGCTATTTTTATGAATTTAAAGTACCATTCTTTTCATTGAAAAAATAACAGAACCGATAAAAGGAGTTGCTTATAATTATGAAATTTTGTGTTGTATTCAACAATAAATAAAAAATATTATCCAGAAGTAAAAACAAAAATTCATTTACGTATAAGTTCTCTGCCCTTTAAATGACCTCAAATAAGTAGAAAATTCTGATTCAGAGGCAGACAACTCAAAAACCAATTTTTTTTTATTTAAATGTTTCTGTTATCATATTCTAACAACATGCCAAGTTTAAAGAAATTCTGTAGAACAGTTTTAATTTTGCCTATATGTCTTTATGAAAACTCCCCAAAACGTCCTTAACTTGCCCAGTTATTTCTATAAACCGTACATTTACAAAATATTTATACATTTTTGCTAACAATATAATAGAAGACGCAACTTTTTCACACCAGAATTTAATGGTACGTCCAATTTTCCATAAACACCCACATTACTACAAATTCTTTTAACATTCAAAAGATATTTACAAAATTTTAAATGGTTACGTTCAATTTCTTTCGATTTAATTAAACGACACATTTCACACCCACAATTGAGAGAAGCTGTAACAAAGGCGTCAAAGAGTTTGCAAATTATTCATCATGTGTAATAGAGCCTCTTTTTCTTAACACAATAACCTTCGTCTTCAAAGTTATCACCTCCAGACCCTTAACAATATGCAAGTTAAGGCTATTTTGTAGGTCGCTAACTGTATCGCCTAAAATAACCATGTCGTCTTCAAATAACAAAAGTATGACTCATCTAGTGATAAACCACTGTCATCTTTTTCTTGCAAAAATAGTTCAAGGAAACGATAATTAAGGAGAACATCAAAGAGGACATAACCTCTCCTTTTTTAGGCCTACAGCACATTCGTTGGATTCCGAATATGAATTACACAACTTTTAACACAAACTTTAACATGTGAATACATTTCCTTTACTATTCATAAAACCTTTTATGAAGCATTTAAAACAATACAGCATCAATTGATGAAGGACGCGTGCGTAAGCCGAATTGCCTGTCACTAATAGCGTTATAAATTTCTGACCAATCGCTTAGCCGCTTATTCAATATTCCTGTAAAAATGTTCAATTACAAGTGTAAACGTTACGCAGTCACACGGCTCCACATTTTTCATCCAAAAATGTCAGGAATTTAGAATAGCATTAAACATATCAACCATATGAGAAAAGAGTATATCGTTTATCAAACTATCCATGCCACAAGTTTTATTCTTCTTTATAATCTTAATTCAGCAGAAGTAATTGGCTTATCTAGCTCATGAACACTGTCTGTCCCACAATGCTTTCAAATGGGTTTATGTGGATATAGTAGTAGAAGTTGTTAACTTTCTTTTAATCCATTTATTTCTATTCATGAACTTTAATGTGTCTATAAATCTAAAAGTACCATGGGATAGCCACTTTAAATCAAAAGTGTGAATGTCAGACTCTCTCCTCCCAACGTAATGCAATTTCGAGTACATGCTCTTATATATAACATACAAAATTGACACAACTATATATGAGCCGTGTCACGACAAAACCAACATTGTGGGTTTGCGACCAGCATGTTTCCAGACCAGCCTGCGCCTCCGCTCAGTCTGATCAGGATCCATGTTGTTCGCTATCAGTTCATCTTCTTGTGATAGAGTTGGTAAGCGGTTAGCATGGATCCTGATCAGACTGCGCGGAGGCGCAGTCTGTTCTGGATCCATGCTGGTCGCAAACCCACTATGTTGGTTTTGTCGTGACGCGGCTCATATGCAATTAAAACATCTTACTAGAGAATAATACAATGAAACAACTATTGCGTACCTTATATATTGTAATTCTGAATCACCATTTTTTTTTAAAAAAAAAAGGATATTTTATATCATTGTATTAACGGCATTGGACCGCACACCTGATAAAATCGTGTTTTTAGTAAAGAAATTACCAGGGCAAAGAAAATATTCGATATTTCAGCTGATATGACACTTATTTGACCTGGGTTTGATTTTGTATCTTTCCCCCAGTACATGCTAGTGTTGAAAAACTACAGATATCAACAAATAATCAAAATTTGATTTACCTTTTTTGTAAAATACGGAAGAAACTAATTCCCCAAGTATAAATAATCAGAAATCTGAGTTTTATTTTGATTTACAATTTAGTATGAATATACTGTACAGGTATAATAAAATGAACATTTGAGTCGGTTACTGGTACGTTTGGCTTAATATCATCTTAAAAGATAATTATTTAACGTATTATACTTTGTAAGTGACTTGATCAAATTTAATAAGTAAATTTCTAATATCAACTGGATAATGATTTATCACCATGGTGCAAACGCCGGAAGTTCATCGGTTCAGTCGTATAAGGTGCGAAATGATAATAATAATAATAATAATAATAATAATAATAATTATTATTATTATTATTATTATTATTCAGCAATTTGCATATTCAAAACGAAATAAGAAATCGAAACAAATATCGTTTCTTTCTAACGGTTAAATGTAAATGTTCTTATCCATACTTTGAATTCATCTTATAGACACCACTATTTTTTATTTTTACATAAATTCAATACCTTTAAAATCACACCTTTTTAAATGACAACCGAGGGAATCAGCAAAAAGTCTAACTGTTAATAAACGGTCTTTTTTCAAGCTAAATTTAACCTTCACGACATCACACGAGAAAAGTCACTTGTGTTCATTGTGTAACAACAAGAGCAACTGCGTGGTATATGTCTTGACTGCCCTATGTTTACTTTTTATTTCCACCCAAAACAGTTTGATATAATTTATCCACAATACAAATTGTTCATTATTGTATTGGTCAAAACAAATATTTTATCTTTGACAGAAAATGGCTAATAACTACTTACGTATATTAAACGTTGGAATGAAAGACGCGGGAGTTTACCAGTGCGAGGCCGAAGACGAAAACGGTTGCTATAGTTATAAGGAAGGCAAACTTCAGGTGGTAGACGTAAAGTCTTTCCGTTCGTGTACGTGTTTTTATTTTCAATTTATAAGGTTTTGTAAAACTTAGATTCATATTGTTTTATCCGTTTAGGTTTTTTTTACAGAACAGTATTACATGTGTTGATTTTCTTGTTACAATGTATTCTAAATATGAAAAATACGAACCAGCGACACAGAACTAATTACTTGACGCCCAGCAGGATACCAAACAAAAACAGGACAGGGCACAGGGTATTAATTTAAATAGAATTCAGAATAGGAAATCATAGGAAACCGACAAAGTTAAAGATAGGCCTACGAAGGTAAAGGGGTGCAGAGAAAAAAACTTTCGGAAGATTTGTGGGGGGGGGGGGCAAATTGAAAAATGCTATAAACAGGCTATGTTACATATCATTAATAATATACATTGTATAATTATATATTTTTTCAAAGCAGGGATTTCATTAATATTAGTGAAGGGATAATAATTATATGAGTGAATGTACATTGCGTGATTATTCATAATATCTACAATTTTTATAAATGTGTAAATATTTAGTTTATATTTTCCCTTGAAACACGTGTATTTTATATTGGCGATGAATATTTAATAATGTTATATTTTGAATTACCTTGTCTGTATTTCGATCGTGTTGCGGTTATCTCGTTTTACACTATGAAAAAGAAACCATAGTACCAGTGTTTATCAATACATATCGATCAATAATTATTTTGTTGTGATTTGTTCATGATTTCGACTGAACGTTTTTCAAAAATTATATTTAACTACAACAATGTTCATTTGTGTATTATGATTTGTAGTATAGAATGAAAATAATAAATGATGTATTGTCATCTACTTCTTATTACAGTGGCACAAAGGTGACATGTGTGTGTGTTTTCATTTATCTCGTGGCCACGAGATACTATGTCGTGGCCACAAGTTACTAAGTCGTGGCCACGAGAAAGCTAAGACTTTCTAATATGATCCTAAAGACAAGTTTAAAGTTAATATCTTCAGAAATTTCAAAGATAAATGTTGCAAGTAAAAAAATAGTTGTTAAGTTTAAAAAATTCATAATATATATAGTGTATTCTGATTGGTTATTTATCTCGTGGCCATGACTTGTCTATCTCGTTCCAACGACTTAGTAACTCGTGGCTACGACAAAGTATCTCGTGGCCACGACTTAGTAAATCGTGGCCACGATATAGTAACTCGTGGCCACGACATAGTATTTCGTGACCACGAGATAAATAAAGATACACACATGTCACCTTTGTGCCAACGTATCTTATATAGTAATTTTAACAATCTTTTTTTTTAATTGTTTACATCTCGTATTTCATATACGCTTTTTTCGCTCATAATTTAAATGTAGTATTGCCTCAAAAAGCTTCAAAAGTAATAAATCTTGATTTTCTTTAATATCTTAAAGTCAATATGTGTTCCTCTTAATCTTTTGATCTAAATCGTGGTTTGAATACGCATGTCGCGTGACGTTGGTGATTAAATTACACCTTGTCAATTATAAATTGTTGTTGTGCTAAATAAACTACATTATTTACGGGGTAGGTTACATTACTTAAAGCGCATTCGTTTAGTCATTTTATTACCTTTTTCCAAATATTGATATTAAAGTTCACATAATTTATAGATATATGTCCGACTAATGAAAGAATATTCGTTTTACTTTGTATAGACAGTTCATTTCTAATAACAGTCAATTATAATTACTACAAATTATTTGAAATCTGTATTTAAATAGTGCGACACTCTATAACGCGATGAGTATTGCTTTGTGTCTTTATTACATCATAACAGTGTTACTTTAAAATTCAGGATATTGTGCACTGTAACACCGCACTTTGGGGTCAAACGCACTTTGGGGTCCAACCCCAAAGTGCGTTACGTTCTTTGGGGTCCGACCCCAAAGTGCGTTAAACAGGTACATTTTTTTTAAACATCAGGCAAACGACCGCACTTTGGGGTCATAGAAAATTAATGTTCATAATGTTTTAAATAATATAATGTAGTCAAAGCGAATGGAAAACACAAATCAAGGTATTAAAAAGACGCAAAACATGTGCCCTGGATTATAGTAGAATCAATAGGGATTTGAATGGTCTTGATTAGTAAGTGAAAAACTTTCACCAAATAAATCACCTAATAAAGAATTTGTATCAATTATTAAGCTTAAAATGTTTTTTCTCTCCAAATTTCCATTTATTTGAAAAGAATGTACACCTTTCATTAACTCCATTGTTTTTAGCTAAATGGAATATTTTCCCGTTTTTTATTTACACATTTTATTGAAATATGATAATCTTAGCATAGACAAAGGTATAAATTCTGGAAAATTTTAGAACGACATTTCAGTAAAAAAATGTGCCTGATAATATGTTGAAAGAACCATTTATTTAGTTAAATGTGACATATAAGAAACTTGACTAGGTGTAGATGCGGCTTTAGGTAGTAGTCCTAAAAATATCAACTATTTAAGTAGTCGCACATTAAGAGCGGAGCTTTAGAATAATGTAAAATTCTCTCACTGGGGGTATAGAGGGGATTGTGGGGTATCGACCCCCCCTCCCCGAGGGTTAAAAATATCGTTTTAAAGGCCCATTATGCTTTTATTTGTTGTTCTTAAAAGCCTTTTTATTTTGATGTTCTTCTATTTTATCCAAAAAATACACATTGGCCAATTACGTGAACGAACTTTTTCATCTGTTGGTTTTTTGCAATGATGAGTACAGTTATAGTGAATAAGTACTTTATATGGAAGTCAAATACTACATTGTTTTGACTACTTTTATGACAAATAATCTCACATTTATTGCTACTTTAATCAGGTAACAAGCATCTTACATTTCTCTGATACCATTATTTTAACATTATAAAATTCATGTTTTCTCTTTCTAACGAAGTATGTAAGATTTCCCATTAAAAAAAGCCTCTGGCGAACGGTTGTTACGGAGCTTACAAAAACCCTTAAGTTTGTTGATAAGCTTAATAATGTTTTTGTAAAATCACTATTTATAGTCCGATCGAAAAACTTGATGTTTCACCAGAACATTGCAATAGAGTATATAGTTCATTGGAAAAAAATATTAACTGTATTTTATTTCATTCCCAACATATTTAAAATGGGGCTCAATATGGCTCAAGTAAATGACTGACAAAACGGGACATTTTTCGCAGCATCTTTTAATAATAGGAATACACAATGTCTGTACTAGAGTATTTTGAACGGTGGCATTAAAGTGACTTTTGCATTTTTTTATACTTTTTTTTTGTTTTTCGTACATATTTTTTTGTTTGTCGTACATACATGTATTTTTTTTAAGTTTTGAATACATACTTTTTTTAGTTTTGCATACATATACGTTTTTTAATTTTGCATACATATTTTATTTTAGTTTTTTGTACATATTTTATTTTTGTTTTTTTCGTACATATTTTATTTTTGTTTTTTTCGTACATATTTTATTTTTGTTTTTTTCGTACATATTTTTACATGACGCAATTTACAAAGTAGCGGTTTGGATAATAACGCCATTTGTAAAACACAATTTTTAAACACTTCGCCATTTGTAAATTACAGTACCCAATTTGCAAATGCCATTTGCAAATACCAACATTTTCATTTTGGAGGTATCAAAAAAATAACAACACTTTTAGTATATATATAAAGAAAGGTTCTGCATATTGTCTCGATGTGGTTAACATTTTACACAAACCGCCTGAAAATCCTTTATGTGGTTTTGAAGATAAGGAGCGGACATGAAACCCAAGTCTTAATCCTTTGACCTGTAGGTGTGTCCTCCGACCTTGAGCCGGCACACCTTGCATATAAGTTTTGAATATATACTTTATTTTAGTTTTTCATACATATTCGTTTTTAATTTTGCATACATATTTTATTTTAGTTTTTTGTACATATTTTTTTTTTTTCGTACATATTTTTACATGACGCAATAAAAACCCTGCAAAGCTTAGCTTTCAGCATTATTTCTAAATCAGTGGAATATAAGGACCGTTTTAGATATTTTGTTGTACACCAGTCATTTGTAACCACCTCTCTTGCCCCCGGGGGAGTGCGGGTCAAAAAAGAATCGTGCTTTGATGTTTGCGCTGTTCCGAGGCATAAGGCAGAAATGTTGTTATCTGAGTATCCCCGCAGGTCGAAGATTTTACCAGTGGTCGGGTTTGTTTAAAGTCAATGCCCCCCCCCCCCCCGCTATTCTCAGGGGGTGGGGTTGAGTGTTGCATATTCAGAATAATAACTGATCACCAATTTTCAGCCCTTTCCAAATAGACACTAATATTATAGTATATAATAATAATAAAAAACAATAATTATATAAAATACATATAATTTAAAAAATGGGCCGAAAAGGGTCGGCCGAAACCAGACTTGCCCGGCCGAAAACGACTGGGCCGATTCCAAAAATGGGCCGAAATGTGACCAAACCACTGTGCTAGTTTTATACTCAACTATGGGCTGTTATGAGATGTGAAGGCTGTTTTGATAGGCTAAAATATGTAAAAACAAAAAAAAATATGTACGAAAAACTAAAATAAAATATGAATGCAAAACTAAAATAATAATATGTATGCAAAACTAAAAAATAATATGTATGCAAAACTAAAAATGCAAATGTCACTTTTATGCCACCGTAATTTTGTTACATGAACACAATTTTTAGATATTTCAAGTGGTAAAATTAATGAAACTTTTATCACTTAAGCATCATCAAAGTATTGACCGCCATCTTGAACTCCACCTCAAATATTTCAATGTCGCAGATCGAAAATAAATCAGTACTCAGTATTTAAGCAGAACTCAGATGACACCTTTAGATCTCTGGAACCCAAAGTGCGTTGATATGTAGCATATTAACGCACTTTGGCGTCAACTTCTTAATTTTGACTCCAAAGTGCGTTTGACCCCAAAGTGCGGTGCGAAGTTTAACGCACTTTGGGGTCGGACCCCAAAGTGCGTTTGACCCCAAAGTGCGGTGTTACAGTGCACACAGATATGATGTAAGAAATTCGGTTTCTGATAGTCATCACACTATATGATTTATGTCATGTATAACAATACATGTATTTTCATTTATATTAAAGTATTCAAAGAACCAAAGTCTTAGATGTCCTGATGTTAATGTACATGGACAAAAATGACAGTATTTTATTACAAAAATGTGAATTACAAAACGACTAATAGAAATGTATTTAAATAAAAAACACAAACACAACTATATCCAATGTAAATTGTTATTACCGTAATTTATGAAAATATATATACATATACACATTCATATTATATTTTCTGTTTAAGATGGGAATCTGTGTCATTTTCGTATTTCTTGTTTAGATCTTAACTTTCATTGAAATAAATTATGTATATCGCAATACAATGAATTTTGATGGAGTTGAATACATGCCCTTTTTAATAGAGATGTCAATTAAATCAGATAAAAATGTGAAACTGTTTATTTCGTTGATATATAAGATTGCGGTATATCCATTCATGAAGAGGCTATAATTTCATCAAGAATATCAAAGGGATCAGAGGTACACCATGGAATATATCCATGGCATGTTACGTTTAGAACTACAGGGGTATGTAACTGTTTACTAATAACCCTAGATGGAACTTATTTTTAAAATATTTTAGATTGCAAGGTTTAATTCAGCAATTAATCGATGTTTTTAAGGACGATTTAAGAAGGACATTGCACATGAGCATGTATATATACCCCCAGATGATTCGATGTAAGAATGTATAACGTTTTATACATGTATACATACCGGATATTGGGAAAAGATTTCAGGCGTCTTTTTCAGTATAATAAATAATTTATTGTAGTCAACTTTTTTAGATTTGCCATCTGTTACGTAGATAAAAGCGACCTTGGATAATGGCCACTCTCAATACTCTACATTCAAAGATACACATATTAAACTTGATGGTAAACCCGAGATCGATGACGGATGATTATGGCAACAGGCAACGTAATGATGTTGGCTAAGCCAATGAAACGTTTTTGGTTTACACATAAACGTGACGATTGGCTATTATGTTGCGGTTCATTGGTCGGTTATGAGGCTTGCCGAGTTACCGGTCGGTAATGAGGCTTGCTGACTTACCTCCCTTGGGCGGATTCCCGAGAGACGGATTTTCCGATCTGGACCGCAAACATATGTCAGATATTCGTGCATATGCTGCCTTATCATTTGATATTTAAAATGGTTTACTTGATATTTGTATGGAAATTAGTGTCATTACACCCATAACTATTTTTTTAAAATATCATATGAATTTACAACTTTAATAACATCAACGAAATGACATCATCCATTAGCACATAGTTCCATTCCAAAATGAAGTCATTTTAACGCTGTTCATTCATAATTGTATGGCATGCGACACCCCATGCCAGATGAAATTTAAGCATGAGTAAAACTCACGGAAGCGCCTGTCTGCTATGCAAGAATATATTCTCTTGGTGTGAGGCTTGTATGATGGCATGCTTTTATTCTCTTGTTGATCATAAAATTACTGTAAACGTTTTAGCTTGTTATACTCGTGCAAAAAGGCTTGGCAAATTTTTAGACAAATAAATTTATTTATTTCCGATACACCCCCTTGCTATTTTCACAACAGCAGTTGAAAATGTCAAGTGACAGATCTATTTAGTTAACTCAGTTTTGTCATTATATTATGTCTTTTTGGCATATTATCTCTTTTAGTCATGACGATTAAATGCTGAGTCAATTTAGAGGCGTGAAAGATGTTCTAGTTTTCCTTATTCATCATGTAACTCATATATATTTTCCCAAAATGCTTTCGAGGAATTCCTCCGTTTTAAGAATTTTTAAATTGACACCAAAATTATAAAAAGCATACACAAGAATGCCGATTTGAACTAATTTTGGTACAAATAAATGTCATATAAGAGAAGTCACTTTACCCGCGTTATCAAACAGCAAATAATGCATGCTTATTGTTACGTATTTCCCTAGATAGCACAACATAAAGTCATGCAACATTATTGTTAAAAAATGAAATCAATACGAAACTTAATTGACTAAAAATTTAAATAGTTTTTACATTTCAAGGAGGCAATATATAGGAAACAAGCATATTGTGGTGGTACCTTGATATCCCAGCGATACGTCATAACTGCTGCTAGCTGTATCATCGACTTTAATGCAGCATTTCGTGTTCCTTTTTCGGCAGAAAATGTGGAAATTTTAATGGGTAAAATGTATTTTGTTATATCATTCAAGTGAAAGAAAGAAAATGAAGCATATTGAAGTTGTACATACTGGTCACAAACAATTTCTTTCTTTCATACAAAATAAAATTTATAGTTTTTTTTCAAGGTGTTGTAGGTTCAAAAATCAAGTACAGCTGGACCATCTTGTTCAGTACTTGTGAGCTAATGGATTACAGAAATATATTTCTAAATAATTATTGAACATAAAGCATATATTTTCACAACATTAAATATAAATATAGATTAGGGATAATATTTGATATTTCAATATATTGAAAATATGTTATACTACAGATATATGTTTCATACGTGAGAAAAAAAACCAACATTTAATGAACATTTGAATGAATGAATTCAGGCACAACAGATTGTACAGGAACTCAGAATGATGGGATAAGAAGAACAGTACAAAGTTTCACGATTCATCCAGATTACGAAGACAGAGGAGTTTATGATAATGACATAGCATTGATAGAACTGGACAGTCCGGTTGAATACAACGATAATATACGTCCTATATGTGTTGAACCGGCGGAATACAATGACAGGGTGTTTCTAGGTGGCTCCTTTGGTCGCGTGTTTGGGAAAGTCGCTGGCTGCGGTGCAATAACGTCAAGAGGCAGATTGATGCCGAAGAGACTGAGGGTAATTATTTAAGATATGAATACTTAGATTCAAAGAGTAAGATTTTTGTCCGCTATTGTCGAATACTGGTTAGTGATACTTATTTAGAATGTATTAATGTATTAAAATGATTTATATAAGCAGAAAAAGAGGGGTTCAGTGACCCTTACAGTCAGTTCAAAGGCAAGATGTTATATTGTTACATTGTTCATGTATTAAATATAAAGACGTTTTTGATCACAGAAAAGGTTATGATATTTTTTCCAAGATTTAAGGGATCAAATTACCGTTTTTAATCTTATCAGGAGCATTAAAAATAATTCTTGGTGAATATTATGAATTCAAATAGTTTCGAAAATTCTAGCTTTATGTAAAAATATAATGTTTTACTTAATCAATATACTAGTATAACATTGCATTAACATTATACCAATAAAAAATAACGTCACAGCAATTTCTTTTATGAAAAATGCTCATTAATGTATACCTTATACATGCTCTTATCATATTAATTTTACAAAAAGGTGGTGTGGGTAAGTGATAAACAGACTAACGTGAGATATTCAGGTGGGAGTGCGTATATGTATAGAAATTGCAACAACTCAATATGTCAATGAGAACAATGCATATTTATGTACCGCACATGTCAAAAACAATTGCTTATTAAATTTTAACATATTAATTTTCGAACGGGTTGAAGATCGGATTATATCGATTAGGTAACGGAACTCAGCAACCAAGTACTACAGTGCTAATTACAATTGCGTTCATATCAAAACAAAACCGTTCCTTGCATTAAAAAGAGAGCTGAAGCTAAAGCTATCATAGAAACACAAATCTTATGTGTATGTGCCAATGTCAAAATGTAATTTCAAAAACATCAACAATTACACAGTAATATATCAAATGATGATTGAAATTACTTACTTCTTTATATTTTAATTTGAATTTTAAAGGATTTTTTTATTAGTTAAAGTCTTGTTTTTCATATGCTTTAGTTTAATGCATTTTATAACAGAGAAACATGTCTTGAATAAATGGGCAACGAACGCCATAGACTCACTGACACAATGCTTTGTGCTCGGGTTGCGTCCACTGAAAGTCGCAATTCCTTGTTGATCTTGTGTTTCATATTTTTTAGTTAAATGCATTTTATATCATTTACCTATTGAAAATTATAGGATGTATATATTCCGTATGTAGATAGAGAAACATGTCTTAAATCAATGGGCGACAAACGCAATAGACTCACTGACACAATGTTTTGGGCTGGGGTGGGGTTTTGTTCATTGAAAGTCGCCTTACCTTGTTGATCTTGTTTTTTTTTATATTTTTTAGTAAAGTTATTTAAAACTTTTACCTAATTTATATTATAGGATGTATATATTCCGTATGTGGACAGAGAAACGTGTCTTGAATCAATGGGCAACAATCGCAATAGACTCACTGACACAATGTTTTGTGCGGGGAGAAATGTAAGTATTATAGATTTGCAAGACTTGGTTTCATAACATCGAACATTCTCTTACGTTGAGAACTTCTGTTTTGCTTTGAATAATTAGAATTGTTAGACAATAGATGGAACAGGGTAAAGTGTGTATAAGACACATTCTGTTTTTAATCTGATAGCCTAGTAATGTTTAACATTAATTATATTCATTTCTCAAATCACTCATTAACATTTTGGATAAATAAAATACACACGCGCAAACAAAAAATAACGATTTAATCTGGCATATGAACCAAAATTTGTCGATATTTTCTATTTCTTTGCAAAATATAGAATATAAGCACAATGACGTTAATGTATTTTAATGTTTAACGAAAGTTTAGCTGCCATGGCAAACATTCTTTAATTTATCATAATAACCCATCTTCTTAAAAGAGACACAGGAAAAACTTTTTGTTTCTTCTAACTGAATTTTCAATCAGATATTCTATTAATGTCCTCTAAATGAACACACTTAGCAGTTCTTGGTGCAAAGATTTTCTCCTATTGAAGTTGTCGGCTTAAGTAATGCTAAATTTCGCAGTGAACCATTAGAACGGAACAATACCCATCAAGTCAAAGACCTACATGTGTTTTTTACTTAAACTATATTCCAAGTTTGTTCTTGTAACCTCCAATGCTTATTATTTTAATGCAATTTGCTTTAACATAATTTGGTGATTCTGTTTACTTTTAAATTAAATTTAACTAGCAAACATTACATTACACTTAAAAACACAAATATGCTGAAAATTATAAACAATAAACTTTCATAATTAGCGCGATTTGAGTAAATAAAATCAATAAAATATTTTTGTTTTGTCATTCACTTGTGTGTGGTTCGTTATATTTGTCAGTTTTTATTTGTTTTTCTTTCAATTAAAGATTGCTAGAACTGGGGACAGTTGCGAAGGGGACAATGGAGGCGGCTTAATCATGGCAACAAGCTCAAGATGGGTTCTTACTGGAATAAGTTCCTGGGGCAGGGGATGTGATGTGGATAAATACTACGGTGTTTACACAAACGTTGGCATGTTCTATGATTGGATAGAGAGCGTTACAAAATTTAACGAAGAGGAGGTGCAAGACTTTTTCAACCATCTTGAATAGTGAAAACATGCTGATATAAGATGAACTACAATATTACTCATTTACTATTTTATATTAACAGGAGCAATATATTATTCATTAACGTGCATGCTTTGCTTATGATGTTTTACTACGTTTAAACGTTATTTTCTGTTTCCATATGAATGAAACGAATAAAGTGTGTTTCATTATTGCTTTTTAGTTTATACAAATTTATTTGTAAAAGGTTTGAAAAGGTTTAACCCGCGCAGTCAGCAATCCATTGATTACCAGTCCGACGCGCTAACTTTTCGGCCAAGCCGCCGTGCTTTTTCTTGATTTTGTTAAACAGTTGGTGCATTATTAGATTTTAAAGAAATAAAGTTTATACGATATGAGTCAAATATACTTTTTTCAAATGCAATAATTTGTTTGAAACGTTTAATCATAATATTAAATAGTTCGCTTAACGTCTTATCATAAAGCTAAATAACATGTAATGTAGGTGTCAGGCAATTAAAGGCGAACGACAAATTTCATACGTGAAGCTATCTACAAACATTTTTATTTATTAAAATCTATAATAATCTTTTCTATTAAATTGTGTTAATTTAAAATATTTCTTCAGGTGAATGGATGTAGGATCATCTTCATGACAAAGTCCATTATGATCATAACCTATTACGTTATTTAGATTTAATTCGCAAAACCCTTCCAATTCCCGCCACTCTTATAATGTGTTTGTACTCATGTCTGTGTATATGTATTATCATACACAAGGAAAGTTTCCATGACTACTTTTTAATAATATGTTCAATATTTCAACATGTTCAAGTATATATTGCAGACCTACTTCTAGCATCATGCATGTTTTATACTGAACTAATCATTTGTCAAAATGCAAAATAGAATTTCTATAAAACGAATTTGTAATAAAAATTTAACTGAATTATAATCTTCTGACATAACAAAAATTTACTAAATAAAACAAAAAAAAAAGAAAAATTTTCCATGCGCAAGCTTAGAAATTTTACCCAACAATGATAAATATGTCTGTCATAATGACCATGTGTGTCTGTTTTATACTGTTTTGGTGACACGTTTGCTTCTGTCTCTTGTTGTTTCTCGTCTACGGTAAGTATCTTCCCTTGTCCCTAGTTTTTATTTATTTTATTCCCCCCCCCTTCCCCGTGTCTCATGTCCCCTTCCCCTGTGCCTTTTGACATTAGGGGCCTTATATTAAATCATTTATTTGTTTTGTTTTAGTTCCTTATAAGTTAATAATTATGTATTCTGATGTAGTGGTTTGCCTGCCCGTACTCTGCCTTGTGCCCTGTCCTGTTTTTCTTTGGGGTCCTCCTAGGCTCCTTGCCGCTGGCGCTTGTTGCTGGGTCGGGTGGGGGCTGCGTTCATTGAATGCCGCCTTTCCTTGTCGATCTTGTTTATCATATTTTAAACACCTATATGCGAGTCCCAAAAAGAAGATTTCAATTTCGTTCATTATATAGGCATAAGTTACCCTGAGTGGAAAGCGTGAACTTTAACTTTCACGATTTTCTTGCAATCCAGATTACATGTATAACAAAATATACAGGCACATATTATCAAATTTATAGAACATAAATAAATTTACACTTTATCACTAAATTCTAACTTTCTTATTACTGGACCGAATTTTATGAACAGTATATCAAAATGCTTGAAATGATACCAATAAATTTAATTCAATAAAATACTGAAATTAGTAATTTCACTCGAAAATAATATGTAAAAATATTATTTTGTTCAATAAATTTTAATCATGTTCTTAAAACATATTTGTAAGGTAAAGAAAAATATATGCACATTTAAAATGTTTTTGGACTTATTTAATATAAAAATTTAAAAACCATGGGTATGGGGTTTAAACAGAAATTTTCACCCCAAAAAACTACTTTTCCCCGAAGCTCGGGAAAACTGTATTTTCACGGGGAAATTTGAATTTTTCCCGGTTTCTTCAAACCCCATGTGTTTTTATTTTAACCCGAAAAATTTTTAAACTTTAATTAAAATTACGGAAAACCCAATTAACCCTAGTGAAAAATGGCCCTTTTCCCGGTATTTACATTTTTATTTTAAATTGGCTAATTGTTTTTCCAAATCTTTCTTGAGATATTAAAATATTTAAACGGGTTTGGGCCCCCGGGTTTTGCACAAAAAGAACACGTGCTTATGTTTGTGATACTGTTTGTGAGCAGTTGACCTAGCAATGAATAGAAAAGGTGTGGCTAAATGTTCCGCTACGAAAAACCGGAAAGGTCCATAACTCAACCATCCTTTCTTTGCAAAATGAAAAAAAAAACATGACCAGATTTTTATACTATTAAATAGTACTGTTACCCTGTAACAGTACAAGTGTCTTAGTCACATGGTACACTTGCTTTAACAGTAAGAATAATTCCCAGTGATCTATGGGAAATTTTCAGTACAAGTGTCTTAGTCACATGGTACATTTGCTTTAACAGTAAGAATAACTCCCAGTGATCTATGGGAAATTTTCATTACAAAAACGTGAAGGGTTATAATAACAAGAAAAATATTACTTACATTTGCATGCTAAAAAGGTGCGATCTCATACAAATTTCTGTGAAGACTTCTTACGTTTGCTGCATGAAAGGTGTAATGTTAAATGAACAAACATGTCTTATATTTCTAAACATTTTCAGGGAATGTAATAACGGTATCATAATATCCAAGGTCAGAAGAAAAAAATGATTTCAAGGAAATCAAAATATAAAAAGCAAAACAATGCACGACCAATTTACTGCTTTAAAACATAAACATTTCCACTGCACAGAACATGAAAATCGTGCAAACCCCAGTGTAATAGAGGTATAAACAATAAAACTCATTGTAAATGTAATTGTTAATGTCACAGGTTTAAGAAATTATTATTTGTTAACAAAAACTTCATTATTTGTTATCAATTGATGCAAACAGGTTTGTAAATATTTATATAAGACTATTCAAATTAAAGATAACGAACGTACAACACGCTCAACATTTATTTAACTACGTATATGTTTTGAATCGACCGATCATAATACGATATATTTAAATGAACTACTATAATGTTTGCATATATTGGCCGCTCACCTATGGTAAGATTAGGCGTAGATGCTCTACCGCAAGGTTCTCTCAAAGAAGGTGGATCGGGCTTTACCAGCATTGTTACCAGCCCGTACCTTAGAACCCACGCTATCTAATTGAAAAGTGACTTGAAAGCAAACTCATAGGCTAGGCAACGCTCCTTAAATTTTTAGGTTAATAAGATAACCCACAAGCATTCATTCAAAAGTATATAAAATACGTGAATCAAAGACCTCAGGCCCCACGGTAACGAAATGGAAAACCACTAACCACGAAAAGGGAAAGGAAACTAAAACATCCCGGGTAGGTATGTGGTTGTGCCGGGAGGTACAAGGCGCAACCTTTTCTTAAATTTTAAGCTTACAACACCAAAAGGCAACGAAACCCGGTTTTCCCAAATGTATTTTTTGGGGGCCGATCGGGTGGCTCGAAGAAAATGGTTAGCCCTTAATTTAAATTTAAAGAGTTGTTTTGATATCCCTTAACCCCGCAGATCCCCTTTGGGTTAAATTTTATGTTTTTCCCCAATTTATCGCAAGGAAACTTGGACAGAAACAAACATTGTTTAAAGACACAGCTCCGTTAATAACATTGCAAAGTAAATAACAACCAACTACCCAGACACGGAACAACCCCCCCCCCCCCTTCCCGTAACGTACCGGTGTACCAACAGAAAGAATCAAATACCGTGACTGGAACATCCCTGATTTAAATAGTAAAAATTTAAGATTTAAGAATATGAATGCTTATCGTCCATTCAATATGATACATGTGTAGATACACTTTCCACTCTCAGAATGTCTTTGTGTCGTGGACTATGCTAAGGACTTTTGATTGTGTACTGCATCGGTTTTAGTCACATCATCCATCGTACATTAGGCCAAAAGCCTACAAAATAAACTTAAAACAACAGAAATCTCGCAAAAAAAGCAACCAACATATTAATAGAAACAGTATGGCAAAAATACTAACAAAGTCGTATACGAAGGGTAGATTAAGAACCAAAGTCATAAACATAAATCATTTGGAATGTGGCGTGTGGGAAAGTTTTCCTCTGGCGAAAGTATGTTTTCAAAACAAAAGGTCATATATAAAATAGGTGCTGATTTGGAACATGCCATTCTTCTGCCATGTTGTACAGATTTCTCAATTTAGCGATGGACCCTGTTTGCAGGTGATATACTGGTAAGCAAGTTGGAGGTAAGGGATCTTACACAAAGAAGCTGTCCCTCTTGATTGCAGAATATTTCCAAAGAAAACCGGATCGGAAAGGAGTTTAAAACTGTCCTGTGGTGCCAATTCCCTGGAATTTTGGTTTAACTAAACCCGAGAAAGAGCATCGCAAATTCCATTAAACGGCCCGGGACGTGGGGTTGCCTTTAATTACAATGTTAAGATTTAGACACCTTAACGGCTAGAACACTGACCGACACATAATTGCATTGATTTCGATATTTATTTATTTTTACTAACTACTGCCATGTTAAGCTCGGCGTGTTAAATTGATTTGTTTAAAAAATTCCGAGCACAAATTATATAAGCGCAACCCAAATAGGAAATTTAATTCTAAACTGTTTTATCTGATGTAAATCGCGGGTGGTGGCCATGAGAGCACTGTCTGAATATAATTTAACATTTTCGATAGTTATCCAGAATTTGTGTCATGAAATAAAGAATATACCATTAAAATTTTTAACAACATTTCTAGATCTAAGCGAATATCTTTCTTTATCCTTATACGATGATATCATTTTTGTAAGACGCGAATTGCATTTATTAAACGGCGAATGACCTCTTAGGAGATTGCATCTTGTTTAAAGACGTTTTATTAGAATTTCTTACATCTTATACAACCTCATTAATTATGGACCTTGGAATACTGACAGTCATTTGATCAATTTAGCTCAAGCCCAAGAAAAACAAAACTTCCGACGGACCTTCAGTTTTTTTTCATGTGCTATGCGAACCCCCAATTCAGCAAAAACCTCTTCAAAATGTCTTAGCTTAACGAATGCACAGAATCTGGCGTTTTATTTCCACCTAAAAGGTCGTCTGAATAATATATTAATTTACCCGACTTCATTT